TTACCATCAACGCTTCGAATTTGTAGGCCATAGATGTCTATCGCTTTGTTTGAAGTACCAAACATCATTTCAATGCGCTTGAATTGTTGACGGATAGGGCGCAAATGTAAACAGTTCAGAAGCGTTGATGAAGCGTAGGAACTTCCGGCTCCTGTATCCAACAATGCTCGGCATTTAACACCGTTCACGTCCACTGTTACCATAGGATACACCACTCCTTTCCTTTCTGCGCTCGTTGTGGTCATCAGCTGGTCTCGCGATGTATGTTTGTCACAGATCGACGTATGATGTCTTCGACTGCAGATCTGGCAGCCAGAACGGCATTTGCACTCAGAAGCACGGTGTCGACTTCCTGTGCAGTTAAAACAAAGCTGTTTCAGTCCTAATTGTTTCCTGCGGTCTCCAACTGTCACAAACTTGTCGCAATTCACAGCTCTGTGGTCAGTTGCGTCACAGTAGACGCACCCTCTTTGTGTTGGCGTAGTTTCGTTTGCGTGAAATGTTTTCTCGCGATCGCGGAATTTAGCACCTTGCTTCCCCGCATTATCCGCGCCGTTCCCAATGGGGTTGATTTCCTTCCAACTTTTCAAAGCTTTTATCAACTGTGGGAAGTCCCAGTCCTGCCAGTCCACTTGTCCTCTCACTAGATCTGCTTTTACACCCTTTAGTTTGTCGAGCACACTCCTTACATTTCCAGTGACGTCTTTCAATTTGCCCAGTGTCTCCAAAGATTGCACATTGTAAACGAGCTTCTTGTAAAATTCGTGGATAGGCGCAGGTTGTGTTCCTGTAATGACAGGCAAATTCGCGATGTTCTGGACGTACGCATTCACGATCTCGCTCGTTTTCCCATATTCGCCGATGAGGATATTCTTTGCCCTTTCGTAGCCCTCTGTTGTGAAAGGCAGTCCGTCTATCTCCGCTCGAACCTTTGATCTACCAGCTTTTTAGGTATGCAAACTTGGTCACAGACGCAAGGTTTGCTTTATCAATTTCAGCTTGAAATTTGTTCCAGAACGGCAGCCATGCTTCATACGTCCCATTAAACTTTGTGATCTGTAGTTTCGGTAGCTTTGTTGTCCTTTGTTCAGTCTGATTAACCTTCTCAACAGGTTGCTGTTTTGCCTTGGTCTCTTCCAGTTGGCGTTCGAATTCTAGCTTCATCTCCATTTGCTCTCTTTCGAATTTAAGCTCCTCTTCACGAGCACGGGCTTTCCTTTCTTCTTCGTCCTTGTGCTTTCGATGTTCGATCTCTCCATTCGTCTCCACGAGCCATTTTTCTAGTCGCGAAACTTCTTCGTCAGCTTCGGCGATCGGTTCTTCAATGCTACTGCTCCAACTTCCAACGTCTTCTGCACTTTTCCCGGCCTTGAACATGGCCTGCTCGACCTTTAGTTTAAGCGCGTCTACTTCTTTTACTAATGCTTGTAGGTTGTCGCGATGTCGCGCGACCGCTCCTAGGTTTCCCTTTTCCACAATGCCACGTGTTTTTCCATTAGTGTACAGCAACATCTGCAATTTAGCCTCTGCTTCTTTGGTTAGTTCCTCCATGCTTCGCGCGTCCCGTCGGAGGTGCCACTGTGTCGGAAATGAGACTAAAGAATCTGCTATGTTCCGAAACTTCACGTTTTATTTTATAAAATCAACTAACCTCCCTCTCTCTCGTCTCACCGTTCTCTGTCTTTCGCTCTGGTCTCTCTCATTTTAAATATATAATATGATCCTATTGTTCAATCATCTGTCACTTATCGCAAAAAATCAACCGGAAATCAATTAACGCTGAATAATCTCTCACATTTGTGATTATTTCTAGCTACTGATGGACTGTTATCATTCTTGGACATGCTTAAAAGCTGGTACTGATTTCGACCTGCCTCTTTGACTGTTTCGCTCCATTCATTTTGCTTCCTGAGAAATTTTTTAATTCGTTGGTTCGTTCTCCTTGCAGCTGATAATGTTCGAGTAGTATTCAAAGACAACTTCTTTGACCTCAAGGGTCACACGGCCCATTCTTTAGGCCAAGTAGAAAGAGGAGACTTGAGTGAATATGAAAATGAATTAAACTTTTAGATCTATGGAGCTTCAGTACACCTCTTAACAAAGTCAAGAGCTGCACAATGGACATAACAATCAGTTCTCCCCGGCAGTTTTGCCAAGTTTACCTAACTCAAACAAAGCCACCAGTCATTCCGTCAATTTCTGAAATACCAACACGTATAGCAAATATAAGAGTAGTGTGAAGATTGGTGATAAGTTGAAAGAGCAACTCAGTAAATTTATTCCTCGAATCTACAGAGACTTGGTAGAGGTAGGAGGCGAGAGGTGATTATGACTTGGGCTTTATACAATGGAGATCCACTTCTGTCGGAGGCCCGTTTCAGTCGCAACGCAATTCATCATACAAAGCAGAGACAAAACATGTCATCTAAAGCAGTTGACCTCTTAATCGTTATCCAATCCCCGAGGTGAAAAATACTTTAAAAACAATATTAATCTAACATAATTATTCTGATTTCTTCCTTCGTTGTCGGTAATGTTCTTCAATCCCTGCCAGTGTTTGTATCTTCGCTTTTTCCTTGTTGAGGTTTCTGTTAATTGCTTCCGAATCTGAAACAGCTGCCTAAGCTGCAAACGGAAGGGATCATGCAATGTAACTTTCCAACTTTAAAATAAAACGACCATTATTTCGGTTTTGAGGTCAAAAGTAGAACATCACTTGGGGCGGAACTGCAGATCGAGAAAAATTGGTCGACGACAGTGAATTGCGGATTGATAAAGTACGTTAAAATTGGAAATATATATTGAAGCATTTAGACATTTATAGACTATGAAACATTTGAGTCACGTTATGGTGCTCCTTCCTCCTTCCTGCAAGAAAGAATAGCGTTCATAACCAAATGAGAGACTAAAATATGATTAGATGCACTTAAGAACATATGCCTCGAAGAACTCATTTTGAAAGATGACTAGTTTTTTTTAAGTGTTGGGCACAAGATAATTTTATCTTCAAGTTAAATTGGACTCATAGAGATCAAAAAAAAATTTTATAGGAATTTAAGAGCTTTTGAAATAACTTATCGTATGGAACCAAGAGAATATAAACTGCTTATGATCTCTTGATGGAACAGTTTCGAATTGACATAAGAAACAAATCAATAATTGGATAAATAATGAAAAAATGAAAGCTTAACTCAAGAAAACAGAACATGAACCTAACCAAAGGAACAGAAACAGTAACAAAATTGACGAAAGTATGATAAACCCTCACTAGTGCTTCTTTATCGGATCAGGCACGTTAAGGCATGGTTACAACGTGAAAACGAGGCAAAAAAATTATTTTTTCATTCCAGGTCGTTGTAGAAGATCAAATTTAACAAATTTCGGCGAGGTTATTACTATGGAAATTATGTATCATTCCATGCAATATCATTGCCATAGCAACCATAATTAAATTATAGTCACCCTTGACGACGCCCAAATTAATTACCTTACTTTGAATTGAAATGGGGCAAACCAAATCTTCAAGACTTGAATCAAGTTCGCCCAAACCGTATTTAGGAATAGTTAATTCATAAGAGTTAGCCCTGCAAAGGCGTCGGCATCAGCCATATGTCCGTGGATGAATAGGTAAAAGTCAGGAAATCGTCACGGCAGCAGTTTGGAGGGTCTTTACGTTAAATTCTTAACGGTTACGAGCTTAACGTATGTTAAAATTTTTCACACTTGAATCGATTTTCTTTCCCCCATGGCGCAAAATAGGTCGTCACTCGACAATGTTCCGATTCGGACGCCATTTTGTTTCACGGCCGTTGGGAGACTGAAACAGAAATTTCGAGTCCCTCTCCCCTGGGGAAGAATTTAATTGTATTTATGCCCTTTTTCTGGGGGATATGGTGAAAGGAACTATGGACTAAAAAGCAGACTTCAAGATGGCGGTCGAAGGAGAGGATTCTTCGAGCTCTCGAATTAAGATTAAATCGGGTCGTTTTTAACTTTAGGGTGCCTAACAGCCATTTACAGTGTTCTTCTAGGCTACAAAATACATTTCAAGGTAGTGTTTTTTTAATATTTCCGTAATTCTTTAATAAAAAAAATCGATGAAGAATGGCAATGGTCCATTCAAACCTTCGTAGACTTTATATTAGTTCATGAATGAATAAAGTGGTCCGCAAACACGGCTCGTATTACATGTTACATGAGCTCCTTAGTTTTTGGCGTGTAATTTGTCTTAAATTTCGAGCAGTTAGCTAGTTCAAGTAGCAACGTGGAGAGTTCCAACTTGTGTTTAATTAGAACACAATATCAAATCCCATATCCTCTGCCAAGGCAACAAAGATGTCTTTAAAGATTGACTGTGCTTGGGCAAGAGTGTTTCTTAGAGAAACTAAAAGTTTAAGCAAAACTGAAAGGATTCCCGGTGAAGGAAATACAAAGTTTGCTGCTAGATTGCTGCAAGATAGATTTAAAATCTTCAATGAACATTTTCAAGAATACCCTGGGCTACACATAAAACGGGAAGACTTCATGCGGCATTACAGAACCATTGATGAAAAATTTTACAACTGGAGAAGTAAAACCGAAAAAGAAGCATACCTAACTGCATTTTTTTACTTTTAAAAGTAATTAGTAAAGAAGGGAAAAAAGATCACTCATTGACCAGCTGCCAGGCCTGCCTTTTATTCAACTCTCAATTACAATCTACCTTCCCTATAAGTAAGTTTTGCAGAGGGGCTAGGAAAGGACCTCTGACTGAACTTAACACAAATGTCAAGAGACAATGTCAGAGAGAACCTAAGGTCACAAAAAGGAAATTAAAAAGCATTGGGGAAGCAATATATGCCACTTACAATGAAAAATGCCAGGAAAACTTTCAAAAATCACTAAGTGACATTCTAGTGCTTGTCCCTGAAGCGGGTCTTCAAAAGAAGCCTTCACCTGCTGAAAAGAAAAAAATGAAGAGAAATGAGTGAAGGCAAACAAAAAAAGAACTAGAGACCAAAATGTCACAAAATGACAGTGCAGTTCACCTTAGCCTTCGTCAGTCTTACAGTTCAAGACAAATCCAAAGAACGGCCCTGTCCTTTGAAACCTTTGAAGAGGCCGAGGAGAGAGCAAAAACGACCCCACCAAAGGTCAGGGAACGATCCCACACAGCTTCACCTGCTAACATAGAAGGAAAGTTGGACCAGCTACTTGCAGATGTAGAGTCATGGCCTGATGGTCCTCCAAACTGGTCAGAAAAAGCCAGAATGTACAACATCAAAACCAAGGGAAATAATTCGACACCTGGCAATGGAGGGCAATTAGTCAAAGCCTTTTTGAAGTCAAAAAAAGTAGACATTACCCGATTTAAGCCCCCATCAGAAGTGCATCTCAATTCAGAGGATGGCCTTACAGGTAATAAAAGTGGTAAATTTGTAACTAAGCCGACAGTGGAGAGTTACATCTCTGCAATATCATTTATAAGCGAAAGAAATTGTGTATTAGGATTGAACAAAATTTGATTTATTAATTAAAGAACAGTGAGATTTAAGAGTTAAAATTTAGAATTTAAAAGTAGAAGAAGAAGGCCTGAAGTAATAAGAATGCATACAACAGTCTAAGTCAAGTTAATGATGAATATGTGACCCTATAATACTTTCATGGGTTTTTATCATTTCTCTAGCCTCATGTAAGAAAAGGTTTGATTAATTTTCCAGGATTCAGGGTACGCAGAGCTATGAGGAAGCAAAAGGGGGGAGAAATTTCTGTGCCTGTGATGCAATCAAATAAACAACTCGAGCAAAGCATCCATGAGGGAATAGAGAGTGGCAAATTTAACATAGGAGAGCCAGTGATAGAAAGAGAGATTACCAAATTGGCTATAAATGCACAGGGAGAGATAGAGCAGAAGAAATGCCACTTGCAAGCAAGGAAAATTCCCTTCCAAGACATTAGAAAAGAAGCATTGATTAAAAACAAAGACCTCCTTCGAATAAAAAATGATGCATTTTATGAAGAGCTCAGTGAAAGTGAGATTCGTGCAGAGCTAGAAAAGATCAGTGAGGATATAAGGGGAACACATGATGAAATCAAACAAAGGCTGAAAAGCTTTCAGCGGAAGAGGCATTGGCTGATTTGGCATGACCATTCAACCCTTTCAAATTATGGTCACATGCTCTTTTGTGTGAGAGAGATGTATGACCCAGCAATTCATCTCTCTGATGCAGAAGCTAGAGTTCAATATGGAAAAGATGTGGATGTCCAGGCAACAGTGGAGAGGCCCTATCTGTATATGCTGGGGCAGAGCAGTTCCAGCATTGAAGATCAGATAAAATTTGTTCCAGCCAGACATGATGATTTAGTAAATTTAACCCAAAAAGTGAAAACAGAAGAGGATGTTGAAGTAGAAGATGAGACGAGATTCATGAATGGAGACAACCCTGCAGCAAACTTTGAATGCAGAAATCAGCATGGAGGGCATTATGGTTGCCCAGGTTGTGATGGGCATTTAAGCATGTGCCACGATCTAGATTACATGGCCCAAAGAAAGTACAGAACATTGACCGAACGGCAACAGCTGGTGTTAGCAGGAAGGAAAGGAAAAGAGGCAAAACAACTCTTGAACCCATTAAAAGATCTCAAGGTCAACGAGCTACGAGCTGAAATTGAAGCAAGAGGACTTGGAGATTCAGACAAAACCAAACCAGAACTTGCAAAAATTTTAAATGAAGAACTTGGAGGGGCAACAAGAATTCCAGCACTGTTGTTTGGGGATGAGAGTGTTTCTGTGGAAAGTCTCAACCTCCAGTCCTATGAGGTACTGTGTTTTGAAGCTCTTCACTGCTCCATGAATCACATTAAAAACATTCTGGAAGAAATCCCACATCACATTTCTGACATTGATACACTGATAAAACTTAAAGAAATACTAGCTGTCCAACTTAACAAAGAGAAAAAACGAGGAGTAGATTATCGCAAGACACTAATCTACTTAACTATAGCCCTTTACCAGACAACAACCCATGATGTGAGAGCTTTGCTGGCCACCCTATGCGAAATGGTGGAAATTTTTTATGCCCAGGACAGAAAGAGGTCACCAAAGTTGATATTAAGGTTGCATAACCTGTGTTGGAGGCATGCAATTTTGTGCCGAAAAGTGATGACCCCAACTAGAGCCTTAACAAGCAGAAAGCTCTTTGGCATATACTTCCATGCATGTGTATCTCATTCCGCCTTTCTTCTTCGTCTTGCTTCACACCGTTCACCTAATGCAGAAATGTTTGAGAGGTTGTTTGAGGAGCTGACCGACATCACCAGGAAGACCTGGAACAACCAAATTGAAAGCTTAGTGAGCAATGCAGTTCTGCATATGCAAGCAGAGAAGACTTCAGGAGGAAACACAGCTGTGACCTGCATCATCAGGCTAGGAAAGGAAATCAGCAACATCAGCAAAGCCCTACCAAAGCTGGGAAACACAGTTTTACCCAAAGATGTCATCAACACACATGCTAGGCACTGGGAGGCTCACCTTCAGTCTATTGCTGACTTCCTCGTACCGGGAGAAGGAGTTTGGTGGAGAGAAATTGAGGATGAAGACTGCATTGAGTTCTTTGATGGTCCTGAGGAAATTGAATTCAGGGAGCAAGGACCTTCCCTTCACCACTTTCGCTCCTCCAATATCAGAATGGAGAAAATTTTCCTTCAACACTGCTGGGAAGAATGCATTCAAAGCGGAATCAAAATCCCAGCTACCAGAATTCCCAATGAAGAAAACCATAATAGAGAAGAATGCATGCAACAGAATCTGCCAGTTCAAGATCAGTCATTTGAGAGTGATGGTGAATGTGAAGAAGAAGCTGAAGATACAACTCTATTAATTGATGAAGAAGAGAGTAGTGAAAACCTAGAAAATAATCAGATTCCGGAACCACAGCAGCTGAGTGAAACAGTGCAAAATGAGACAGGTGAACCACTGGCTAAGAAACCAAAATTATCTGAAGATTTTTTACCATCCAGCAAAACAGCAAAAGCTCTTTCAGAGATTCTTGGCACAACCAAAGATGTTATGTTATATGAAAAACTTAAAAAAAATGCAACAAAAAATTCAAGCTCAAGATACCACAAAGAACACTTCTTAAATCACCTGGCACACATTCAAGTACAAGTTCTAAAGAAATACAAGGACATAAATGAAGCAATTACTGAGTGGTCAGCCAACTTCAAGAAAGTCTTCAAAAAAAATCCCACAGAAAACCACATGAAAAAAGATCCAGTTATAGCAAAAACATGGTGGAAAAATAAAGTTGCCACTGAGCTACTGAAAATATGGAAGATCACCATTCACCTTCCTAAATAAACACTTCAAATTATTCAATGTTTTAACGTATAATACGTGCTGATATTTTGTGATTTGCATAATATTTTTCCAAGCCCTGAAAATAATTAATATTTACAGTCCTCAACATTAAGTCCAAAGAAAAGCTTTCTTCAGTGGGTTCCACATGTACTGTAAGCATGAAAAAGCACCAAAAAAACTATTTAATACATACCATTTTGAGGAACTTTAGTATAACAATCCAACTGATAAATATGAGTATCCTACATGTATGTAGATCTGGAACATAACTGAAGGCAATGTAGCATGGTAGAAATCTAAAAAAGAACAGCAACAACATGATTAATCATGTTGCAATGTTTAATTTTGTACAGCAATTTTTAAGTCATCAATTTATTTATGCTTCTAAAGGATTCATTGAACAAAATGAGCTCAAAATGTAACATTTGCCAAGTGCATGATGAATAATGTCGAGCAAATTAAATCTACTCAAGTGATTTTGAAACTAATGACTGTATTGTTAGTTCTCATGGTTAACTTTCATATTAGGACTTTTGATAAAAGGGCAATGGTTCACCAGAATTCTTTTTTCAGAACTAAATCATAAATTCCTTTACGAAACATGATTTTAACTTAAGCTAACAAAATGCTTTTCTTCTTACAAATGTCCCTTTCTCTCCACGTTTGTAAGTTGGACCTTAACACAGGATACGCTGATCAAAAGAAAGATTCTCTAACAACACAAAACAATTTCAATTTCTCACGCTTCGTCCGAAACATATTGAATTAAAAAAGCGTGGAACTAAATTAACACCTGCTCGGCGATGAAAGTAATACGTAGCTTTCCTGTCGGTCAACAATGATCTAGTCTGATCGAACTCAAACTGAATTCAATCGAAGGACGCGCAACAAGCAACACCTTTAAACAACGTTTCAAAGGAAGCAGTGATAAAAAATTTCTTACCTACATATTCTTCCCAAGTGATTCCAGGCCTCTAACACAAACAAGCCTCAGAATATAAGAGAGCGACAGAGTTTCCGAAACTTCGATGTGCCACAATGTCCGCCATCTTTGCCGCCATTTTGAAATGTTTTTCTCTAGGCGCGATTGACTTCGCGGGGGGGATTTTATCATCCTGAGCCATGCCCTAACGTGCCCGAGGATCAGTTTCTTAGACCATTTCGGTTTATAACCTTGTTTGAAACATGGAATGAATCCACGAATTAAGTCTAATCTGTAGAACGAAAAAACATTGTGGGGGAAATAATTTGCCGAGAAAAGTACATGGAGAGGCTCTTTTTTTTTTTTTTTTCCTTGAAACTGCCTAGACTTGCCTTTTCATTTTTAACATCGTGGCCTTCCTTTGGCTTTTTTTTTGTCTTTTTTGTTTATAGGTTTCTTTCTTTTTAAATTTTATTTCATTTTCTACCTCTTATGTCCCACTCCAAACTCTTCAATCGCGATCACAACCGTAACCTCTATCGCACCGGTGTATTAACTAATTAAACCGCAGTGTTGACCTTGGTTTCGAGTGACACAACCGGCTGCGCTGCTGATTGACACAACTAACAATAGTGTTGCTGACGGCTGAGGAATTCGATAATCCTAATAATGACACTCACTTACTGTAGTCAAGGAACTTCTATCGAGTCCCGTTAAAAACGTATTTTTCCTCTGATTTTCCTTAATTGCTATCATGGCCGTGGTCCCCATTGCAGTTTTTCAAGCGACTTTTGGATGGCTTGTGCATAAAGGCAGAGATAAAGCAGTCGAAAAGCTAAGCGATGTAACACATAAACAATTTCGTAACATCATCATGAGTGAAATCGACGACATGAGCTCCAAGTTGGATGGATTATCGAGAAAAGATTTGCTAGCAAGTATCAGCTTCTTTAGAGAAGGAATCGAGTTTTTGTATGAAGGATTTGACGAGATAAGGTCAAGGAGTGAGTTTGGCGCGGATACAGCACAAGCGACTTGTGCGGAAGTTGTGTCGCTCACTGAAAGAATGCGAAATTTAGAATTTACTGAATCTGCCACAAGAAAGCTTTCTAATGCGAAGAAGAGATTCAAACGTGCCCGTGAAATGGCAACAATGGCATTTTCAAATGAAGCACTATCAACAACTGACCGCATTTTAGCAATGCAGTACCGAGTGATGGCAACAGTATTAGAGGCAATAGAGAATCCATCCGATGCTGTAGCACCGTGTAAAGTATGTATTAAAGAGCTAAACGGTCTTCCAATGGTTCAGCAAAGCTTTAAAGTACAGCTCAAGACAGGAATCAGTGCGGTGATGGGTTTGTTTTACCAAGAAGAACGAGTAAAAAATATTTCCAGTGTCTGTCGCGTAAATCGCGTCGCCTTCGATGTCACAAAAGCGATATGCAGCAGAGGGCTTCTATTCCTGGAGTGGCCCAATGTCGATACAGGAGAGGAGAAAGTTGACTTACTGCATGACAGGAGACTGGCTCTATTACTACGTGAACAAGGTATGGAGCAGTGTGATCTATCATGGACAATTGGTCAGGATGGTGAAAAGGAGCACAGGATAAAAAATCCACTAGATATCGCTACTAACTCAAGCGGGCAATATATTGTAGCCGACTATGACTTGACAATCAAGGTGTTTGACAATAGTGGCAAATTTGTGAAGTGTTTCAGACTTCCTCCTTTTATTGATGACAATGGTAAAGAGCTATCTACGGAAAACTGGAAGGTTAAACTGGCGACAGACATAAACGACAACATTTATGTGCTGGTTGAAGAAAAGAATCATCAGCGTTGGATTTTTAAGTTCGATAAATCCGCTGACCAGTATCACAAGTTTCGCGAGAGGACAATGGACCTCGAGTGCAATCTGTGTAAACTGTCAGTTAGTGATAGTGGCAAAGTGATGGTATTGAAAGGCAATTATACAAAGGACTATCATTTTGTGGATCTATACGAGACTGATGGCCAGTTTGTTTGCAGTTTTGGAGAACAAAATTTGAAGAGCCCGCGAGACATCAGCACTGTAAGTGATGGCAGAGTTATGGTGGTGGACCAAACGCCTTCCCACTGTGTACACATATTTAGCGAACTCGGTGATCATCTAAGTAAGTTTGATCTCAAAGGGTTTGTTCACTTTCCAAACATTGCATTTCACAGGGAAAGTCAACAAGTCGTCTTGGCTAGTACTGACGATGAAAAAGAGCTCCTATGTATTGGAATATACACCAAAGATGGTGAGTTTGTACGAAGCGTTTTTATCTACAAAAGTGGCTATTTCCTGTATAAGATTGCAGTGAGCACTGAAGGACGCATTGCAGCTCTAGGACCTTCATACGTCAAGCTAGAGTCCGGCGTCATGGATTATAAAATAGGATATCGATTGATTGTTCTATAAAACAGATGCAAATGTTCTTGACTTGTTTCCACGTTCATTTTGCGGAATCAACTCAGGCCTGAGAAAATAACCCCCTTACTTTCTCTTGGTTTGGGCGTAAAGTTTTGAACAATCCTACTTTCAAGAGAGGTCTACTGAAAAGTGTATAATCTGATTTCGTCTTTTTTCTGGATTGTTTGTTATGTGGGTTTTCTTTTTTTCCTTAAGAAATTACTTATAAAAAACAGTTTAACACATAATACGTTTTAGGTAAGACACAGAATCATATACCTTGTTGGCGACGTTTTTATGCCACTTAGTCGAGTTTTTCACTTTATGTCTTTTTAGACCCTGAAACATACTCAAACGAATGTAATGTAGTTTCGGTTTTTCTTGGTGAACAAATCATATCAATTTAGGAATTTTTTTCTTTTGTAACAATCTCATTCATGGTTCTAGGCTAATCATCACTGACCCTCAACCTCATGATTTTAAGTATATTTTTTTCCAAGTTGTGATTATTAATTCACGATTTTAGCTCCCAATAATTTTCTTATACCGAGGTAAAACTAGCATGTAGCGGATATATTTGTCTATTCTCATTACACATTTTTGTCAGATGACGTGAGGTTATTGTAAGGAGAAGCTGAATGTGATTCCCTTCTGTTAGTGAAAGGGTTGATAGACAATTTTCTTTGGGTGTATGTGTATGATTTGATATTTTAATAAGCGTGTTCATAGACCCTGTATAATTTCAGCCGTGGCATTCACCGTAATGATTCGATTTAGCGCTCGGGGCGCTAATTTACTTTTGGTACCTTAAAGGAGGGCGCTCATTCGAGGCAAGGCGGTAATTATGGACAGGGCGCTTATCAAGGACAGGGCGCTTACCGATATTTCTTTTTTAGAAAAAGCAGAATGAGCAAAACAAAGCTTTGATGATTTTACTTGAAGAGAATCAAGAAGACTGGAAAAAGGACTTGTTGTCTCTCGATCCTTCCTGACTAGAACGACCAGCCTAGCAATCGTCACACGGAAAACCTATCTTATTGACCAAACGATGGTCTCTTAGATTCGTTCATCCCACATAGACCATACTTACCACGCTGAAGTTGCAGTAGGGTAAAAATGAGAGATGGACACGCATGCAGGGTTGCAAGTAAACGCTGCTTACGAAATTTTTAGACACGGCTATTGCGTCACTTTACTCGCTTAAACGGCGTACTATTTCACTCGCCAGCGTGCTGTTTTATTCATTGCCGAGCTCGACACACTTCTTTGTTCCATGTAATACGCGCGTTTGTTTTTATCGTGCGATTAAAACAATAGAAAATTTTAATCGTTGTGCAAATGATACCGGCTCCGCTCCGAAGCCGGCATGTCATTTTGCTCGCTGCCTTGTGTTCACCTTATTCTCTGTTTTCCCGTAGAGGGCCACATTTATGACGAGATCATTCGTTTGAAGGAACTGTGCACTCACGTGGACATAAGACTGAGACGAAGACCACTGTTTTTGCAATGAGGCTTTAAGTGAGAAATCAAAGGAAGATGAACCCCCACGGTTGATCTCAACGTCTATGTATTCTAACAGTGCTATCACTAAAGCAGAATAGGGGTAGCCTTTACTGCAGGCGTCTTATGAGGGCGAGTTAA